GTTGGGGTTTTTAAAAAAATCATTATTACAGTTTATTTTTGTTCAATGTAGGCGCGACAAAATTTAGACCATGATTTAAGGAGGGTGATGGGCTTCCAACACTGAAGGAGGGTGATGGGCTTCCAACCCTGTCTGTCAGAGCCACTCCTGGCTGAAAACATGGTGAAATGGTACGGGTTTAACGCCCTCTCAACACTATTAGGTTATTTAAAAGGCGGGACCTCCTAGTTTAACGTCCATCTCCGATAGGACCGAGCCAAGTGGGAAGTTCGTGGAAAGTGCCTTTCCCAAGGACACAACGTCCGACCGAGCTGAGACTTGAACCCCCAACCCACAATCTCACGATGACGAGTCTGGTACCCGGGCTGAGAGGGATTCAAAACCCCATAGGAAGACAGAAGATACTTGAAAACCAAACTCCAGTATCCCGCATGCGGCAGCAAAGTGACTATCCGCTACACCACAGATAACGATAAGACAGCTACTCAGCTGCCGACTTTTTCAAAACCAAAACACAGATTCTACCCACCCACAAAGCGGGTCAAGATGGCGGGCACTGGTAAAAAAATCCACATTTACAGATTTCTGTACCGAGATCCTCCGTCTTTCATCTTTCTTCTTCTTCTTGTACCACCTTGGGTGTCGAGGGGAGAAAGAGTTTTCGGTCTCTGGCAAGCTAGATGGCCTGGCTGGGTGGGATGTTGGGAGTCTTCTGTGTGTCCTTCACACCCTCGATCCAGGTCTTCCTTGGTCTTCCTCTTGTACTTGTCCCATGATGTTCTTTTGTTGTACACTTTACTAGCTAGCTGGTGGCCTGTGCCATACGCGTCAGACGGGTAAACCACCTGATTGTTTGCCCCTGAAGGTAGCGGAGGACAGGTGTCGTTCCCACCATTTCTCTGATCATGTTGTTTCTGATCATGTCCCGTCTGGTTTTGTTGACGGCTTTTGTTTAAATTTAAGCCTAAATGGTTTTAGAGTAAGGATTTAAGAAAAGAAAGAATAGCAACAGAAAACAGCAAATGAGATACTACATTTTCTGAAAGCCTATGAATTGAAGAATATTTTTACATTACAGAGGGTTTAAAAAATAAATATCAAGGTACTACTTAAGAATGAGGGTTCCGCCTCTTTTTAGACTTGACAGCATCCACACAGAGTACTGGACATCGATACTGATTTTAAAATAGTCGGTATCGATAGTTTTATCAGTAGATCTAGCCTAGCCTACAAAATGAGCAGTAAAATTTCACTTGTTTTTCACAAGGCAAAGGGGGTCTTGCTCCACTGACCTAACAAAAACATGGGGGGTTTCACTGAATTCGACCATAGTTTAATTTGATGTTTTGCAATTAAGCCTTCTAGGCCTAGGCTAAGCAATCTCTCCAAATCAGCTCGCACATCAAAAAGCAATTGTTTAGAACCAGAAGTAGAATCTAGGGTGCTTTTTCGGTAGTTCCCATCCCCCTTATTTGAGCCTAGATCTACATCTAGGTCTTAGGCTCAAATAATATACATATGATGTGCGGCAAGCTAAGATATCAAACCTAACAACTGCAAAACATCAAATATGGTAATATTCAGG